AAAAGTCAGTTCCTTCTTGCACATTTTGAAGACAAAGCCCAATAGCCAACCTTTGCAAAAGGCCCCTTTGTTTTTCCATTTGTTCATGTAGTAAGCCTATTGATCAAGTTTGGAAGAATTGACCATTTACAAATTGTCCTTCCCATCCTGAAACAGAGTCTTCATTTATTCATTTACTTTTCATTTTTCTGGACACTTATCTTCATGTAGATTCCCTGTACTTCCCAGCAAATTGATGACTAAATGTTTTATATTTTTATGTTTATATGGCAAAAATCTTTCAAAATATGTTATTGAGAAAATTTTGCGCTCATATGCATATGTTAATTTATGTGCATTTCTTATTCTGCCTGGTTTTCTGCAATCTATTTTAAAAAATTCCCAGTTGGGTTTTTAAGTGGTGGTGGTGATTCTGTGCCATCAAGTTGGTTTCAACTCCTAGGATCCTGTACAGGGGTTTCCAAGGTTGTAAATCTTTACAGAAGCAGAAAGTTTCATCTCTCTCCCTGAAAGCTTTATGAAGAGCAGTAGAACTTTGTCAGATACACTGCCAGATGATGAGGCCCTCATCTTGATATAACAGTATGAATGGAGTAAAGCCTCTAGGAACTTCATTTACTGATGGGGCACAACTCCAAAAATGAGGAGAAACAGTTGCAAACATCCATTATTAATTAGAACATGGAATGTATGAAGTACGAATCTAGGAAAACTGATTTGTCAAAAATGAAATGGAGTGCATAAAGCTCAATCTCTTAGGTATTAGTGAGCTGAAATAGACTGGTATGGGCCATTTTGAACACAAAGTCATATGGTTTATTATGCCAGGAACGACAAATTGAAGAGGAATTGTGTCACATTCATTGTCCAAAAGGACATTTCATACTCTATCTTGAAGTACAACTACGCAGATGTAAATTCAGCCAGAAGCTAAAGAAAATGAAAACCAGTCCATAAAAGCAAAATATGACCTTGAATATATCCCACCTGAATTTAGAGAACATATCATGCGCAGATTTGATTAGAGTTGTGAGACGACATCAAGAACAGGAAGATAGGAAAGAAAGACCAAAATGGGTATCAGAAAAGACTCTGAAACTTGCTCTTGAACATAGAGAAGCTAAAGTAAATGGAGTAAGGAGGTTTAAAACCGGAATAGAAAACTTCAAAGAAGAGTTCAAGACAGAGTCAAGTATTATAATGAAATGTGCAAAGAACTGGAGGTTGAAAACCAAAAGGGAAGAACACACTTTGTTTCTCAAGCTGAAAGAACTGAAGAAAAAACCTCAAACTCCGACTTGAAATACTGAAGGGTTCCTGTTGTGGTACTGAACCACAAGGTCAGTTTGAACCTCAAAGTTGGCAGTCCAAACCCCCCAGTTGCTCCTCAGAAACCCTTTACAGGGTCGGAATGAGTTGGAACTGACTTGACGGTTCTTAACAAAACAGCAACACCAACAACATGGACAAGATCATGAATGACACAGGAAACATAATGAGATGGAACAAATACAGAGTCACTGTACCAAAAAGAAACAGCCAATGTTCAACCACTGTAAGACATAACGTACGATCAAGAAGTAATGGTACTGAAGAGAGAAATTCAAGCTACACTCAAGGTATTGGCGGAATACAAAGTGAAATCTTTCAACAAACTGATGGAGCATTGAAGGTGCTCACTCATCTATGCCAAAAAAATTAGAAGGCAGATATCTGGCCAGCTAATTGGAAGAAATCCATATTTGTGCCTGTTCCAATGAGAGGTGACCTGACAGAATGCAGAAATCATCAAACAATATCATTATCACATGCAAGTCAAATTTTGCTGAAGGTAATTCAAAACAATGGCAGCATACATCAACAGGGAACTGTTGGAAATGGAAGCAGGATTCAAGAGGATGTGGAACAAAGGATATCATTGCTGACATCAGAGGAGTCATGGCTGAAAGCGGAGAATACCAATTGCTTTATTGTTTATACTGCTTTTGACTGTGTAGATCATGACAAACTATGGGTATCATTGTGAAGAATGGGTTTTTCAGAACACTGAATTGTGCTGACAAGGAAGCTATACATAAACCAAAAGTCAGTCATTGGACCAGAACAAGGGGATACTGGATGGTTTAAAAAAAAGAAAGGTATGCACTAGGTTTGCACCTGAGCAACTGGATTATATTAAGAACGGGGCATCAGAATTAGAGGAAAACTCATTAAGAACCTGTAATATGCAGATGATACAACCTTGATTGCTGAAAGTGATGAGGACTTGAAAGTATTTATTGATGAAGATCAAAGTCTACAGCGGTACTTCAGTATGGATTGCACCTCAACGTAAAGAAAACAAAAATACTTACCACTGGACCACTAAGTATTATAATTGGAGAAAAGAGTGAAGTTGTCAAAGACTGAATTTTGCTTGGATCTACAGTCAACACTCATGGAAGCAGCAGTCAAGAAATCAAATAACATATTGCATTAGGCAAATCTGTTAAACATGACCTGTTAAGGTGTCCAAGAGTCAAGTTATCAGTTTGAGGACTAAGGTGTGCCTGATCCAAGCCGTGGTATTTTCCACAGCCTCATATGCATGTGAAAGTTGGGACAATGAATAAGAAGTGACCCTTGAGGTTCAAATGGACCTTGTGGTCTAGTGCTTATCCTACAGCACCACATCAGGACTCCCTGCCCCTACTCGCTTAGGGGTCGGTCCAGCCCTCCTGTCCTCGTAAGGTTTCCGAGGCCACAAAAACGGACTCTCACTTCTTCCTCCAAGAGTGGATTGTTGGAGCTGATGAGTGCCGACACCAATCTGTAGGTTAGCAGCCAAACGCTTTACTCACTGCACTACGAGGGAGCCTCCTCTCCCCATGAGATGCAGAAATTAGTCCCACTATACACGGATACAATTTGCCTTTCTCTCTCACACACACTCTCTACCGGACTTAACAACGGACCCCAGGACTTCCGCACAAGCCCCCAACCCTCCTGTCCTCCGTTCCACCCTACGCGGGCTTGACCTTGGGGCGGGGCACGAGCTTCTTCCAGTTTGGGTCGCAAGCCCACGCAGATGCTGGAGCCCCATGGCTTGGCATCTCCTGCTTAAGACCTCTCGTGTTCAGCTGAGCTGCTGAGAAACTCCGTCGTCTACACGCTACCAGTTGGCTTAATCCTCCCCGTCTGTAGCCCAAAACGAGCCACACTCGTTTTGGTGAGGCCGCAGTTTAGGCGTGGCCGGGCGTGTCGCGCCGCGAGGGCGTCTGGGAGTTGTAGTCCGGACGGCCGCGCTGACGCACTTGGCCTCGGGCCGCCGGGCGCCATTATACGACGCGGACGTGGGTGAGTGCGGCGTGGAGTCGGCGCCCGTCGGGGGCTTCGCCCACAGGGCCAGCTGGGCGGACCCACTTGACGTCCGGGGTTTCTTCGGGAGGTCGCGTCTTGCTTCGACCTCTCTTGCACCGCACCGGGGTCAGGCGAAGCTTGACCCCATCTCACGGCTGGGGCTGCCTGGTCCGGAACGCGGGAGCTAGGAGGAAGACCGCACCTTCTGGGCTTGGTGGGGATGAGGAGGATTCCAACTGCTTCCCGGCGCAGGGGAGAACAGAGGAGAGCCGGCCCATTCCATGCGTTGGGACAGTTCGGGGCACCCCCACTCGCTGGCCTTGGCGGCTATCTGAGCACGCTCCGAGGTCGGGGACTGGGGGGTGCACTAACTACTTCCGGCTTGGGTCCTCTGGGCGGAGCCTCCGGGCGACAGGCCGTCACTCCTCTCCCTCCCTTCCCAGTACTGGCCTTCCCAGGACCTTGGCCACCCCCACGAGAGCCATGCTGAGGAGCCGTGAGGAAAGAATGCCCTCCGCGCTCCCCAAGGCCTGGTCCGGGGTAAGTAGAGGTTTCCGTAAGTTTGAGTCTGCCTCTACTCGGGGGTCGGCCCCCTAACATCCCCAGACCCCCCGGGTGAGGGAGGGGCTTTCCTAAAGGAACTGCAGGTGTGTGTCCAACGAGTGGTCCGAGCGAGCGGAGACTAGAGCTCAGACTCCATGCCTTCCGGTGGATTCAGGCTCGGAACTACCTGACTTCCTGGAAACCCGACAGCATAGAGTAAACGCAGTCTTATCGAAGCGAACGTCCGCACCTGTCTCCCATGCAACAGTGGGGACCTTCTCTGCAGAGGTCAGGGTTAGGTTGGGGGGCTCTCTAATTTATGCTTTCAAGTGAGAGGTCTGAGCAGGCATCAGGTTGGTATGTAGGCTCCAACAGCTCCTTTGGTACCAAGTGAGTTGAACTCGGTTCCAAGGAGAAGAGACAGGATGTCATCCTAATGGAAGGAGAGAACGTGCTGGGGATTCTACCGAGGGAGTCCCCTGTGGGAGGCTTGCCTAGACTGAAGTTGGAAGGTTAAGGAGAAATGGACAGGTTTTCAGTAGAAGAAGCACCCTCTTCTGTTTTCCTTGTTGTGACCTGAACTAGGGTCACGCCTGGGGCTGGCTGAGTTTTTAAACACAGGCATACCTCTCCCATAGATCAGCATGATGAAACAAACATCGCAATAAAGCAACTTGAGATTACTGATTCCCAGTGCACATAAAAGTAACGTTTTACACAATTCACAATAAAAAGTTTTGTTGTTTTTTTTAAAGTTACACTGTCCTGTGTAGTAACATGAAAAATGTGAAATATTGAGAGACTTAAGCAAAATGTGATGTAGACATAAAGCAACCATAAGCTATTAGAAAAACAACTTGCTCGACACAGGGTTGCCACAAACATTCAATTTGTTTGGAGGGGAAAAAAACCAAACAGTTTCCTGCAAAGCACAATAAAACGAGGTATGCCTGTAAAGGTAGGACCCGAGATGGGACTTGGATTTTCTAGAACCCAGAAGATTCAGGTCACATTGTAGAACGTCCTCTGCACCCTGGGTTTGGCCTGCCTTTCCTCTCCTGTCAGTGTGGGTGACGACTGGCAGTAGCTAAACAGGAACTTGTGGGTCTTAGGAACCAGTGACCTTTGAAGATGTGACCCTGGGTTTCACCCCAGAGGAGTGGGACCTCTTGGATTCCATGCAGAAGACTCTGTACAGGGAGATGATGCTGGAGAACTACCGGAACCTGGTCTCAGTGGGTAAGGCTGGCCTCTCTGTGTCAATAAAGATCACGCTTTGAAACACAAACGTGATGCCTCTGAGGTGTGTGTGTGTCTGTGCTTGGGATCAGGCTGCAGGGACCCGAGTGGACATGTTTGGACCCAGGGGACACAGGGAGGATTTGCTTTGCACCCATAGAAAATGGTCAACTCTGGTACTACTGAAGTTTCACCTACGCCGTCCCTCAGAGTCCCTAGAGGTCTTAAGGTGGGTCTGTTAGGGGTGTTTTTAACCTCAAAGAGAGGCATTTGTTTTCCTGACAAGAGGTCCAGCCAAATGTAGTCCAGAAAATCCAGAAATATCGAGGTTCTTGGTGCACTCCTTTAATGTCCATTGTTAGCATGTTCATTTTCATCTGCAGGTGTGGGGCCTGTTGGGTAGTTGCGGATCCAAGAGTTAGATCCATATTGAAGACAGAAAGAAGGGGCATGGGTAACCCTGGCCAGCAATCATTTCACAGTGGTCACATAATCAAAGCAAAACCTTTTCCGGAAGGGCCCCAGCTGGCCTCGCTTTCTGTATCATTGGCCAGAAGTGGGGCCCACGACTGTCCCTAACGACAAATGACCATGGGGAAGCAAGCATCAGGCACGTGGGATTAGGCACTGCCCTCCACCAGAAGGTCCCTTAGAAGGGGGAGGGAGCATAGTGTGTGCCACGGCAGGACGGCATTTTCTCCGGAACACAGCCCCCCAAAGCCCTGTCTCTTTTCCCTTGAGCAGAACATCAGCTTTCCAAACCAGAGGTGGTGTCTCAGTTAGAGGAGGCAGAAGAGCTATGGCTGAAGGACAGAGCAATTCCTCAAGACACCTTTACAGGTGAGAACCAGGCCTTTGGGAGTCCCTGCAGGTAACTGGTGTTTTGGGAAAGAAGGAAGGTAGGCAGAGACCTCCAGGGAGGTACTGTTTAGAGCAACTGCAGACATGAATCAGTGCAGGTATGCAGTGCCCTGTGTTCCTGCCTCAATGTCAGCGGTCACCTGCTTGAGTGTGAAAACCTGATGTAGGTGACAGGTGGTATATGGAGTAAGGGTGGAAGATTCCTTCACCTAGAGTTAATGCCCTTTAGTAATCATTAACTTTGTGGTATGTGTATTCCTGGTGTGGCTCTGTAGAATAAGCACTGGACTGCTAACCAAAAGGTTGCACGCAGTTCAAACCCATCAGCTGCTCCTCAGAAACCCTAGACAGGGTTGCCATGAGTTGGAACTGACTTGATGGCACTTAACATTTGAACTTATATTTACATTTTGGGAATATTTATCTGCTCTTCTTGATGAACATTCCAATTTTTCCCAGTTTTATGTATCTGGATTGTGGCAACTTCTGGACACACATTTCATACAGGAGTTGGGTGTTTCTGTAAGTTGATTTCTTGAACTGGAACTGCAGGATCAACCAGTGTATCATTTTAAAATCTGGTAACAGCAATTATCTGCTGAAATCTTTAAAAACATACATAGCTGCAAGTATACACGGAGTTCTTTTTGTCCTTCATCACAGTAATTAATTCATAATTTTTATGTTTTATAGATAGGATAGACAAAAGAAAGTTCCCATTTAACCCATTTATTTTATTTTGCATTTCTCTCACTACTGGTGAAATTGACTATATTTTCATACATTTGTATGAAAAATTTGTATTTCTTTTGTGAGTTCCTATCCTTTCCCATTTTTTCCTATTTTTTTTTTCATCTTTTGCCTTTTTTTTTTTTTTTAAGATAGCCTCTTACCATTTGGAGTCCTGGTGTGGTGCTATAATGTAGGTTAACACGCTGGACTGCAAAGTTGGTTTGAACCACAAGGTCCGCAGTTCAAACTCGCCAGCCACTCCTCGGAAACCCTACACAGGCTTTCAGTCACTGTGAGTCAAAACCAACTTGATAGCACTCAATAACAACATTACTGTATAGATGTCGTACATTTTAGGGTCTTTCTTTCTCCTATGAAATCTATTGTTATTTCATTTCATATGTAAGTAGATTGTATAAATACTTTTCTATATTCTAGTAGGGTTTTCTTTGTCTTTTGTTTTTCTGGAATTCATTCTTACACATAGCGTGAGGTGCAAGTACTCTTGATAATCATTTTCTGACCAGATCCTTCTCTGTTGGGATCCCCGTCTTTGCTGTAGAATACAATTCCCATTGTCATTATGCTCTGGTCCCTTCTAGACTTCCCCTTTAACTCTCTTATCATTGTCTTTGTGAAAGTGCTGTACTGCTTTGGTAACTGCTTCACAGCAAGCTTGGGTCAATGGTAGTGCATCTCTTTCTTTCTTTTTTTATGAAATTCCAGATGAACAATGATCCTTAGTTCATTGGGAGTTGCTGAAGAAATGCTGTTAAGTGTGTCTTATCTGTTACTGGATTTAGAAGTTACCTGTGGAAGGAGTGGTCTGTCTGTCAGGTTTGGGTACCAGTATTCAAGGAGAGATCAGCTTGGGCTGCTCATTTCCTGTGCTCTCTTAGGCCTTCCCAGGACCACTCCACTTTCAGTGTGTTGTTATAGATCTTTGTATTCATGTTATGTCTGATGAACCAGTCATGCTGTTGAGTCTTCTCATCATTTATAAAAGTTTTGAGTTTTCCCAGTATGAAATAATTTCACCAAAAATATAAAGGAAGAGGCAAGTAAGCTAGTGTTTTTTACTTGTAGGCTATTGTGTTACATCTGTGCCTATAAACATGTGACTCCCACCATGTGATGAGTGGGTATTGGGCCTCTGGCTTAAACCGGGAAGTTTCTGGGTTTTGATGTGCATTATGCTGGATTCTGCTTTGATTCAGATCATTGTTTTCTCAAATGAAATCATCATCTATTTCTTTTTGATAAAAGAAGATTTGGGACTGCCCTTTTTTTCAGTAAGTGAAGATTGATACTGTGTTTCTCCAGCGCTCTAAGGCTCTAAGCTGTGACTACAGCTCTTCTCTGTCTTGGATGACCAGCTGGTGAGATGATAATCACCTGGTGAAGTGTGCTTTTAGTTCTGTAACCTTTTTTTTTTTTTTCTTTTTTCTTTCCTTTAAAAAATAATTTTTGCATCAATATTCACAAATTAGGTTGGATGGTGGTGGCGTTTGTTTTTCTTTGTTGTGGTATCTCTCTCAGTGTTTGCATCAGTATGTGCTGGGTTTGTAAAGAAGCTTCCCATGCTTTTCCTTTTCTTTGTTTTCTGTTCTGATTCAGATGTTGTTGGAACTATATCCACTGCTGAGTGTTTGCACGGTGGAATCCACGACATTTGGTCCCCTCATCTTTCGTTAGGGTCTTCTGTTGGCCAAATAGAGGGATTGGACTTGCTACGGCTCCTCATCCCCTCTTTGGGGTCCTATTTCTGGTTTCTCCAGGTTTCAGCTTAATGGCTCAGCATTAGCATTTTCTGTTTTTGCCCCATGTTCCAAATTGTTCCTTTCATTCCTTTAAATAACCCCTATGTTGACTTAGTTGTTGTTGTTAAGTACTGTGGAGTCGGTTCAGGTTAGTACACGTCACTAAATTAGCCTCATCCATAATGAGAGCAAGTTGCATCTGTCCAAAGGGTAACTTTGTTCTTTTGATTCCGTCTCCTAATGGCTCTTCATGGCTTTGTGGTGTTGGATGTATTATCTTACCCTCCCTGGACCTCAGGTCCTGTTTCTGTGAGAGCAAACCTGGTTCCTCATAGCTGTGCACATGTCCTGGATGATCTAGTTCTTAAAAGCTGTAGTTTTCAAGAAAAAGCTAACTCCAGATCTTTGGGGTGTCTCACAGTGGGAGGCTGTGTGTGGTGAAGCTCATAAGGACTCGCTCTTTATGGGCTGGGTTCATCTCTGCTGTCACAGAGCCCTTTATTTGATGTTTGACCCCCATTCTGACCCTTTCTTCATCTCATAAATATTACTGTCATAGGCACAGGACCAGGCAGTGTTTCATTATGGTGTTCATTGGATCACTGTGACCTGGAACCAACTTGATGGTACCTGACAATAACAAACACTGGCTGTTTGGTGATAAGCCAATGATAATGGCCTTTTTTTATTAATTACTGGATGTAGTTAATAAGTTGGGATGAATACTGAGGAGAAGACAAGGTGTACAGCGAGGAAGCAGGGGGAATTACTCTAGAAGAGATGGTCTAGAGACATTGAGGCTGTCGAATTTAAGCCATTCCTGAAGGGAAAGAAGTCTTTAGATACGTAAGAGCTTCCAGTCTTGAGAGACACGGTTGTGGTGACCGGACTTGGAACATTTGGAAAATGGAAAGTTAAACAATGGGCTGGGATGAGGTAACCAAGGTGCAGAGATGCGAGAGTTGCAGACAGAAAGGTGGATGCAACAGAACCCACATGCCCTCGAACTGTGTCAGTACAGAACCAGGTTTTGAGTAGGCCTGTGACTTGGCGTTTCAGAGCTCATCCCTTGTGCTTGTGAAGAAAGACTTGGTGGTGGTACAAGACCAGAAGCAGGCAGGGGCTGTTGTTTGATCTGGGAGAGGAGCAGTAAGGATGAGGAGACGTGAGAGACTTGAAGGTGGACTGTTTGGGACCAAAGGAGAGGAAGCCACTGACTCTTACAGGTCATACATGACACGAAAGCTTCAGGGCACTTTCCGTTACTATTCTTTATAACATGTATTTATGACATACTTTATATTTTGATAGCACTTTTTAAAAATGCAATGAAGGAGAAAAGTTACTACTGGGATTTTTAGATTAGCTAATGAAATGGGGAAAACTGGTGAAAAAATAGGTTTTTTTGAAGGATAGAAATGTAGCGTGTTGGGTGGGAGGGTTATGATGTTTGGTTTTTTAATTTTAACTTTTAAACAGAAATCGTTAAGTTAGAGCTTGCATCTAGATTCAGCAGTTTACTGAACTTCACGTATGCAGTTCAGTAACAAAGCATGAGTGAGGGTTGCTGACAGATACCCAAGGAGAGGTTTGCACGGCCAGTTGCATGCACCATTCTGAAACCAAGAAGGACACTGGTTGTCGTTAAGTGCTGTCGAGTTGGTACCAACTCATAATGACCCTATGTAGAGTTTCCGAGGAGCAGTTGGTGAACTTGAACGGCTGACCTTGTGGTTCAAAGCAACGTTGCAGTCCAGCGCATTAACCCACAGTGCCACACCAGGACTCCAGAGGACGGTTACAAACATGTAAATGTGTAGAATAGTAAGTGTGAACATTTAGAATAGTATGTTTTGCTATGAGCCAGTCATCCCCTGCAGTAGTCTCTTTCTTGAACACAGAGAAGTGAGTCTTAATGCAAAGCTAAGTATTGATTTAAGACTCTCCACCTTGCCATATTTGCAAAATGACTAGCAATGTAGGCACTATTGTTGAACTAGAGGAGACACTGGGTAAATCTTTAAGAGAAGTGATATTTATCTTCACAGAAGCACCTGATAAGATGCTATGAAAACGGGGAATTTGGGGGTGTCTTAGGTGGAGCTCAGATGTTAAGCTGTCCAGTGTCCGTTTAAGGAAGCATTATCGTGTTTGTGACTCTTGAGTTGAAGACTTAGTATGTAACCCAGAGCTAATCATTTGGAAAGCAATGAAAGGAAGATAGCTTTACGAAGGTCACAATCACAGGAAAATCCAGACATTTAAGATTTTCAACTCATCAAGTAATAACAGATCAGCCCTACCAAAATGTATGGTGGTGGTGATGTGCCGTGGAGTCAGTTCCGACTCATAGCGACCTTGTATAGGGTTTCCAAAGCTGTAAATCTTTACCAGAACAGAAAGCCTCATCTTTCTCATGTGGAACCGCTCATTGTTTCAAACTGCTAACCGTGAGATTTGCAGCTCAACGCGTAACCACTACACAAG